CGGTTTCTGGAAAGTTGGTGCCCCCGCTGCCGCCTGCCACAGCTGCACGGGTAATCCGCCTGCTTCCTGCACTGGGCTTGGGGCACTGAGGGACAAGGATGGGGTCTCCAAACATGATCTCCTCCGTCGGCATCAGCTCCCTCCCAGGGGCTTCGACCCAAGCCATTGTGCCAGGCTGCTCATCCCGGGGCAGAGTCTGGGAATCGCACAGGATAAAGCAGCTCCTGACGCCTCCAGCTGCACTGCGGCCTCTTCCCCTTCTGCAGGGTTCTTTACTCCAGTTCTACTCAGAGCGAAGCCACAGTCTCTAAGAGATAGGCAGGCTTTTTTCTTCAAAAATGAACACTCTGTCAGGAGTTTTGCTTGCTGGCTCCAGCTATAAAACATGCCTCATCATCCCACAAAAAAACTGACCAACTAAACAAATAAAAAAAAACAGATCTTTGCTACTAAATGGCCAAAACTGCCCAGAATTGCAACCACTCACAGGCAGCGAGGGGGAGAGATAAAGAAAGCGGCTGGTGGCCCAGACCCCGCAGCCCTCAGGAAGCTGGGGAGCGTGCACAGACAGCACCACACCGAGACACCCCGAAGGGACAACCCCATGTGTGGGTAACTCCCACGGGGACACCCAGGCAGCATTCCGGGATGTTTTCCCCCATCTCCAGGAAGTTTAGCTCTACTTTAGCTCTGGACCCAGCTCCCTCCTGCTGTGAGCAGTCAGTGCCCTGCGGCCCTGGGGTGCGATGCAGCCGTGGGGCCCAGCCACGGTGCCCTTCTGCCTCTGCCTTTGGAGTTGGGGCGCTTGACTGACGGGTGCTTCCCAGCTGCTGCCGCCTGTGTGTGCGGCATATAAATAGCGGCCCGGGAGCCCTCCCGCACGGGGCCACCGTTGTTAGATAGTGATGGACACACGGCGAGCGCGCACATCTCCCAGGAGAGCCCCCAGCGCCATCACATTCCCCAGAGCAGACGGGGAGCAACAAGGGAGATGAAGGATGCTCTTGGCTTGCGCAGAGACCGGGCAAAACTCGCTGCATGGCTGCGGCCCCGCGTGGGGCTGGCCAGGCTCCGTGGGGATGGCTAGAGCCAGCAGCGCCCATCGGAGGCTGGGAAGGCAGCTGGGTTGCGCAGGAGCGAGCGGGCAGCGGGCAAGCTGGATTGAGTTGTCTTGGCACCGGTCACTTTCTCCCTCACTGTCACCAGTTGTAACGAGCGACGGGCCCGTGAAGGGACGGCGGGGGAAAGAT